TCCGACGTAGTCAGGACAAAAAAAAATCTGGAAGAGGAAAGATAAATTACCGAGACGCTTTTTGAAACTCGAACAGAAAACGGTAGAAAGCTTGAGCAGAACTCGAGCCACCGTGTTCTCTTGACATTAGTAGAAAATCCATAGCCTACAAGGATATTTATGAAAATCCACAACAGAACACATAAAAACTTTTGCGTTCTGCAAAGTTTTGTTTTGAGAGTTCAAAAAAAATTGTACTGAGAAAGAAAACCAAAACACACAAACACGCACACACAGAAAACGATATTTATTTCAATTCAATATGATAGAGAAAAGAAGTTTACTTGTCTATAGCCAATAGCTCGGGCTGCAGAATTCGAATTAGGCATAAGGCCCAAATCAAGAAGCCAGTTTGCCTCAGATAAAATACCATCATCTGCCATTGCAAAAGGATATTGTGCAGAAAATTAACATATAGAGAAGACAATAAGAATATAGGCAAAAGGCATTATTCTGAACCAGAACCAACTCTACCTAAAAGCATATCTTCACACCGGAAATCAATTGATCGATAAAGATCCATCCTTTGGGTCGAAAGAAAAAAACAACTAAAATCATAGTCCAAATTCTTTGACTTTTTCTCGTCAGCTTCGACATCTGAACAACCCCCATCAAAAGCATCAGCATCATCACTTGACCGTAATTTCTCTTTGAAAGAATTATAAGGCACTTCAATGGCTGATGGAGAAACACCACTTGACTGCATAATTAAGATGATACTTTTTGCAGAGTAGGTATATTGACAAACAATAAAAATGAATACAAAAAGCTTGCTATTTACTAAACAACAAGAAGGATAAAAACGTAAATTGGATAAGGATTATTATAATCAGGCCTATTGCCTAACCTTGAGTATTTCAAGCCTGCGGCGTAATCTGTACCAATCATTTGCAGCTAAAGATCGGACAGCTGGATCGCCTGCTTTAACAACAAACTCTACTGCAGCTTCCCAGTCACCATCCCTTTGAAAATCCTCAAGTTCCGAGTTAACTTCAGCTGTAATCTCACGGGAGGCCTTAGGAACATCTGGTTTCCCATAAATAAACCTTAAAAAAAAATAGACAGGTTTTCTTCTTCAAACACTGCACTTTTTTTTTTTTTTTTTTTT